GTGGCACTAGATAAACATACTTTGTTTTCTAGACTTCAGTCCCACAATCAGTTTTCTGTCTTTGACAATATATGCAGGTATGATTACTGCTCATCTTACATTAGTATCAGTTTAGTTTCCTTTATATTTGAGAGGTGCCCTAATTCTTGAAGAAATTTAGAAATACTGTAGATGACTTCTGTGTGGAAATGAGATGGCTGAAGTTACTTAAATTGGGTTCAGGAACTGGCCCTCTCTTTGCTCATTCTAGAATTTGACCAGGACATATACCAGAATCTCATTCCTACCCACCTGATTTGCCTCATGGATACTCTTGTCCTGTCTGTTCTTTGGTCTTCCATCACCATGTCTCAGCTTTAGATTTTATACCTTTCAAAGATGTGGATCATCAGAATGCAAGAGGCAGAAGACTTAGAAATCCAAATCACTAGGGTGATAAGCCCTTTGAGTTGAGTGGGACTGAAAAGTAACCTAATGCATTACTGTTAGTAATTGTTTGCCATGAAGATTTCAGTTCTGGACATATAAATTGGTGAGTTCAGCTGCACTCTTTTCCTCCTCCAAATCTTGCATAAAAACTGATGATCTCAAGGCAATTTCACATCTCACGTGGCTCAGAATAAAAGTCTGTGGTTAAAGGGACTCAGTTTGGCCCAACTTGAGTCCATCATCTCCACCTCATAAACTCTATTCACCTTTTCATTTTCTTGTACTATGTGTGAATGATACCATAATAGTAAGTCACACTTAATGCTTTTTTTTGGTCCTAAATTCTTTTTTCTTTTCAATGTGAAATGTAATATACAAGTGATAATGTATATGTACATTTGGAAGAACAGTAAAAGATGGCCAGGTATCTGCTGCTCAAGCTGAGCAATGGGACATTACTACACCCCAGGAGCCCTTATGTGCTCTCCCCACTCACATCCTTCTCCCTTATCCTTAGAGGCAATCCCTATCCTGAATTTTGTAATAATTGTCATCTCTTTATAGTTTTTATCATCTATGCATGTACACTTGACCCTTGAATAGTATGGGGTTGGGGGCACTGACCCACAAGGTATAGAAAATTTATGTATAACTTTTGACTCTCCACAAACTTAACTACTAAGAGCCTACTGTTGATCGGAGGAAGCCTTACCAATAACATAAACAATTGATTAACACATATTTTGTATGTTGTATGTCTTATATACTGTATTCTTACAATAGAGAACAGATGTTATTAAGAAAATCATAAAATAAATTTATAGAACTTTATGTATTTATTGAAAAAAATCCATGTATAAGTCTATCCATACAGTTCAAACTTGTGTTGTTCAAGGGTCAGCTGTATTCTTAAGTGACATAATTGTTCATCGTTGCCTGTTTATAGCCTTAATAAAAATGGAAATATATTTTATCTGATTTACTTTGCTCATTAATATTTTTGAATTCATTTATGTTGATGTGTGGAAGTGTACTTTTTTTTTTCCCCTCATCTTCCCAGTCTCTAAATGTTGGAGTGCTACAGAGCTGAGTCTTTAGACCCCTTCTCTACATTTGCTCTCTCATTAAACTGAGTCTCATGGTGTTAACATTATCTACATAGTGATACACCAACAATGCAAATGTATATTTCTAGTGTAGTTCATTTTCATGACATGAATATGCGACAACTTAATTACCTGTTTTGCTGATGTCATTTGGATTCTTTCCAGCTTTTGTTTTCTTCTACTTCTGTAAACATTCCTTTAATGTGTTTCTGGTGCACGTGTGTAAGAGTTTCTCCAACATATATAAGTTGTGGTATGTTCATTATTACAGGCTTCATCCTGGGGATTGTTAGATTTCTATTCCATTGTGGTTTTATACCTATAGGCCTGTTCTGTAGATCTGGCACATATCATTCTTAGTAAATATTTGTTGAAAGAGAAAAGGACATTTGTCAACTGCTGGAAACAGCTGTGTCTGAGACAGCCAGACCCAAAATACAAAAACGGCTGATACTATACCAGTATACATACCTTCCTATATCCTGTCCATACACAATCATAGTCGACCTTTTTTTGTCCTTATATTTCAGTTGAGGTATTAAAATATATTTATTTACTTAATTTGTTTTTTAATACCCTTCCATGAAAGGTCCATTGATACCCTACCGTTGATACCCATTGTCAAGAGGCACACCATTGTTAGACTAAAAATAGTCTGGAAAGCCGAAAATGACAGATTAGTTTCAAGAGCCACAATGGTGTAGCTGGATTAGGCTAGTTGGAGTAGAATAACAGCACTGTATCCTAAAAAAAAGTGTCAGCAGTGGTGAGGCTCCACTGATATCCCTGAGAAAGGGTCAGAGATCCAGTGAAGTTCATCTACCAGGCGTAGGTGTGAACAATGCTCCTTGCTATGTGGTCTCCCTCGCTGTAAGACAGGTTAATTTTGGGTAGTAGTCACAAGTCTAAATCTTACTGAGTCCTTTATTTTGTGCACAGTCTGCAATAGTGAAGTTCTTGCCATGTCTTGTATGATGGATCCAGGCAGCAATGGAGGCAAATCTGCGCAAAATAGGCTCCATCAACAGCTTGATTCCGGTCAGTCTCATCAGATAACTAGCTCTTCCTGTGGGTATTCACCTGAGTGACCCAGATGGTTAGATTAGCAATTATGGTTTATCTCCACAGATTGAAGCTCCGAAGAGAGATGCCTAATGAGTCTAGTTTTTCAAGTATCAGATCAAATAGCTAAGCCATTGGCAACAGCCCAAGAGTAAAATTATAGAAAGGTTGATCAAGGGGAGTATTGATGAGAGTTATGAAAATGGCCTTGAGTTCTGCCCACCAAGTAGTGACAGCATTCAAGTAGTGACAGCTTCCATTTTGGGTTTTGCATAACGCACTGAGATTGAGAGGCAGGCCACTCCAGATTGGTAGGAGGAGGGTTTAATAAGCAAGGGAACTTACATACAAGGTTTGTCTTGGGTGGTTGCAAGACAAGTGGATCTCCAGACCCACCTGTAAAAATCTTAACAGTTTACATAGAGGCCTTAATTGGGTTCAGTAACATATTCAGTCCAGGTGGTCTCAACAACATCTTACTTTCTCAAGGCTACGTCCTTAAAACAGCTCCTAGTGTGGGAATGATGGGCAGAACATACATTCACGAACAGGGGAGGGAATGAAGAGCCTCTGATTGCCTAGGTCCTACTGACAGGTCAACTGGTGGTTATGTCCTCTCAGTTACCCTCTCCAACAGAAGCTCAAAGGTTTATGGAGCTCTAGTGGTAGAGAACTTACCACAGCTTGCTATATAGTGACAATGAGGTGGAGGTCTTCCATTTATTGCCTATTCATGAGAAAGGATTGAGGCAATGGTTGCAGACCGAGAACCAGGAAATTGATTCAAAGACATCTGCCCAAATGGTGGTAAACTTCACACCAGGGTTTTTGTCACTAGTCTGGTGATTAGCTCAAGGGTTTGTGTCAGTATTTGGAACCATATAGATCAGAACCAGGTGGGCTTCTCCCTTTTCCTCTTAGCCTTTAGTTCTTTCAAACCAGACTCCATATATAGAAGTTCCCACAATACCCATCTCTCCTTCAGCTTTCTTCCTCTAGCTCATTCTCTTCACACTTAGACCTCAATATCTATCTCATACCTTGTTCCACCTGAGTGTAGCCCCCTTGCAACCATCTCTACCTCAGTCTCTGTCATCAGATTTGAATCAGTTTCCCTTACCTGGTTGCTTCTCTATTTTAGGACTTAGCACTGCATATTACTTCATATAGTGCTGCTCTTCTGTTTTGATTATAAACTCCTTTAACTCAGCTGAGTGTCTACTGCAAAGCAAGCGTTGTGCTGAGTGCTGTTGAGACATGCAGAAATGAATAAAACTGAGTCTGTCCCAATCCCTCTCTCCAGACCTAGAGTCTAATGCTCATTGAATGAATGAATAAATGCCCTATTCATCCTATATCTCTTTGCTGACCTTCAAGACTTGAGGATCAAATCAAATTGGCAAACCATGGTCCAGGGGCCAGCTGCCTAGTTCTAAATAAAGTGATTTGGAACCAGGGCTGGGATAAGGGCAAGCAGGTGAAGCAGGTTTATGCCATGCAGGGTCAGATCCTATCATTTTTGAAGGACTAGTTTAGTTTCTTCATGGTTAATAGGAAGTATATTTTCTATCCCCTCCTCCAGCCTGTTTACATGTTGGTCTGAAGATGGTGGTAATGTACATGACTGCTTCAACCTCATGCTTTTCCTGCCACCCTCCCCATCAGCCTGCTATCTGGAGACTCTTCAGTCCACTAACATGAATTGTCTATCCCTAAGGCAGAGGAGCACTGTGTCAGGTACCTTGGGAACACAGAGATTTAAAACCTGCATCTGCCAGTCATCCAGTGTGGTGATTTAAAGCAAAGGGTCTGGTTCAGGTCCCGGTGCAGCAGGACGTGGGCTTTGGCAAGGCTCAACATTGCTGGGCCTGTTTCCTCACCTGTAAAGACGGAATAGCAATGGTGTTTTTGAAGACTGAATGGCGGCTTTATTTTCAAAAGTATTTTGTAAATTGTAAAACCCCATGCCGATTGTGAAATATTTCCGTTGGGCTGATATCAAAACAAAACAAAACAAAAGTCTCTAAGAAAAGTTAAATTGGGTTCGGGTAAGTGGACAAGGTAAATAGAACTTTACCTGGGCATGGTTCTTTCTGATCCTCTACCTTTGTCTGCCGTCTGTCATCATACAAATCACAGTTGTGTATTCTCCCCTTTGCCTTTGCTTTTCTAAGATGATGTGTCCCTCCACGTCTCTTTCTGGGGGCCTGTGAGGGTCTCGTTTTTGTCCTTTGGGTGGTGATGGTGGGGATGGTTGTGTGCTTTAACCAGAGGTTTTAATTTAAAATCTAATCCTTTTTCCAAGAGTAAATTAAGACTGGGAATAAAGAAAAAGCCTAGCGCTAGGTGGCACCAGCGGTTACAATTGGTAAAAGGGGTGGGCTGGCGGGGCGGGGAGTGGTCTCTTCCTTTCTGGCTTTTTAGACTGTGAACACTTTATGTTGCCGGGACCCACAGCCTCAGCTCAGTAACCGGGCAGCGGACGCGGGTGAGTTGGCGGACTAAGAGGGAGCGGGGCCGCGGCGGGGTCGCGGACGCCTCTTACCTGTCGTCGGGGAAAGGGTGAGAGCAGGTTACCGCAGGTCCCCCGGGATCCCTACGCTCTGAAGTCTTTGCGGCGGGTGAGTGGGGCCGAGGGGAGTTGAGCTCACGATGGTACAGGCTAAGGGAGAGTGTTTGTCTCGTAATCCCCCGACCCGATCTTGGCAGATGAGAACATTGCGCCTCCAATCTTGGAGGAGTTTCCAACCTTTGGGGCCCGTTGGGGCAACATGCGTTAGTCAAGAGTGTGGCCCAATGCGCAGACAACTCCGGCGACGTTGGGGACTCAGCGCCGAGGAGGGGCTCCTGGCACGTGTTGAGAAATTTGGGATCCCAGGAAGGAAGTTCCGGGGGCAGAAACCTCGGGCAATGACAACCCAGTCAGTGGAGTCATTTTGAACACAAAAACCTCACCCAGTGGGTGTTCATAAGCGCCTGCCGTGCTACGCAATGGTGAGCAAAACTGTCTCGCTTTCTGCCCGAGGGAAGCCTCCAGGTTGGAGTGCGGGAGCTGGGCGCGCAGTGACACGAGGTGAGCATGGTGGGCTGGGCCAGCACCCACTAGAGGAAGAGCTGGGCAGTGGCTGAAAAGGGTCCTTGAAGGACTGAGCAGAGACCCGGAGGCCACGTGAGAGGGGCGAGTGTCCGAGGGCCGTTGTACTTGGCTGAAGGGAAGTAATTACTCAAGTGGTGTAGCACTGGGGTGGGGCGGCGAGGGCGTATCCCACAGTCGTTCTTGAAATTTTGGGAAAGGATTGACGGGTTTCAGGTTAGGGAGAGACTGGGTGGACTCAGAGGACAGGAAAATGGCGACACATTTTCTCGGGGGATTTACTTCTGGAAGGGTAGAGACAGGGCTGGGATCAGATAACACCCCTGCGCAGAGAGTCTCTTGAGTTATACCAAGCCTCCTTACACTAGCCAGCGGGCCGGGTTGAGCTCTGGAACTTCTGAATGGAGAAAGTACTGTGGGAGGTACAAGAGCTCGAGGCAAGCAGCAGCTGCCAGAAATTCAGTCTCCACAGTCCTGCTCCCTCCCCAAACCAGAGCTAGTTTAGAATCCGCACCAGGGGCCTCTTCCTACAAACCCCAGCAAATGCTGCTTTGAGGACTAGTGACAGAAGTGGGTCTTTCGTGCTGGAGAACAGGAAAGCCAGGGCCTTGAAGATGCTATTATTGATACTGTTTGGAAATGTTACCTTTATTGTGTTTCGCTGAAGAGCAGAAAAATAATCCAGACTTGCACACCAAGCAGAATGATTTTGAATAGTCTTGAAGGAAAAGAAGGAAGGAAGGGAGGGACTCAACTTTAGTTACCAGGAATGCACCTTTCATGTCAACTTTCTTTTTAGAGATCCAGTTAACTCCGTTGCCAAATGCTTTTCCTTGCTGATATTTTCTATTTCATCACCTGTCCAAAAAAGTGAAAGAAAAAAGCCAACATGTTTTTATGCCTTTATTCTTTTCATTTCATCTCAGGAGTAGATGAAATGTAGAATGAAAAGTAGAGTGAGTGACTGTCAGCCGGAAGAGGCAAGGGTTTAACCATGTTTGCTGCAGAGCAGGAAATTTCCAGGTGGGTAGGAAACCTCAGTGCTGGGCTCATCGTAAGCCCTGAATAAATGTTCACTGCTGAGTTATCACTATTGTTTTATTTTTTTAAAACAAGGATCTGTATATATTTAAAATCCACAGAATCATGTATTTTTTTGCTCCCAGATGGGATCTTAGAGAGTGTCTCCTTTAATCCCATTTTCTAATGAAATCAGATCAGAATGAAGAGAATTGTGCAAGGTGGTTTGTGACAGGTCCGGGGCTGGTTATCACAGGCATATACTTTCTTTCCAGAATTCTGCACCGCTGCTATAGAGAATGCTGTGAGACAGCGGAAATCATGTCCTCAGTGGTACAGAGTCTAGGCTTTGGACACTGATTCTGCTGTGGACCAGGAGTATCCTTGAGTAACTTAGCATTTCTGCACTTTAGATTAGTTAAAATGAGGCTAGTAATTGTTACCTAAGACAGTGATGAGAGGATTCCATGGCACAGAGCAGGAATTCAATAACTTTTGGAGTTACTTGACCAAATAAGGAAGCTATTGTTCCTCTCTCCCCCCCTTGCTGATGTGTTTTGTTTCTCTCTGACCTCAGGTTCCTAGACTTGGGCACCAGCCAGTGGTTAGAAGCAGGGTGAAACAGAAGGCAGATGCCTTCATAGTCCCAACCTGGCATTACTGGACAATGGCAGCTGAAGCAGGAGTGACGAGATCCCTGAACTTTCACAACTGAGAACCAAAGTTGTTCTCAGTTGTGAAAGAAGAGAATTTGGAACACAGAACAAAAAAAGGAAGACAGCCCCTTGGAGCAGATACATTTGTCACAGGAAGCCACGTCAAACCCTGGGGCCTTTGCAAAGCCTCTCCATCTGCTTAATTACTGGGAAGTAGATAGCCCCAGGAAGGTGTCCAGCCAGCCTTTGGGGCAAAGCCAGGAGTGGATAAAACTAGAAAGAGACGCCATGGAAGAGAAGGTGTTTGACCAGCTGAAGCCGATTGAACCTGTACAGAAGCTGCTCCCTCACGTGGACAAGGAGACTCTTCGGGAAGCTCTGAAGAGAGAGGGCTGGTGGAAAGCATGGGTGAAGGTGAGGAGACCAAGCTAGAGAGAGGGAGGGCCCAGGTCCTAGACTCCAGAAGCTCTTTCATCCATTCTCCTGTCTACAGGTCAAATGGAATCTCAGACTGTTTCAAGCTGAGCAATACCCAGGAAAGGGGGCTATAAGGCCTTTGTCTCCTACACCACTCTGGCATCCTTCATAGAGTACTTCTAAAATCTATCATAGTGACAGCCTTTTTTCTTTTGCTTCCCTTCCTATTTATATTCAATATATACCCTTCCCTTTTCTCCTATATTGTTCTTCCCTCCTCTTTATCCTTCCTTTCCTTTCTATACATCATCGTTGTTGACTTTGTTTTATATTTCTCTTACTTCCATGGTTTTATTTTTCTCTCAGTTTTCTGAACCTTGAGACTGGATGTCTGTCTCTGTATGTGTACAGACTCCCTGAGCTTCTCCTACTCTTCCAGAAGCCAGTCACCTTTGAGGATGTGGCAGTGAATTTCACCCAGGAAGAGTGGGAATCTCTAGATGCCAGTCAGAGGGTCCTCTACCAGGATGTTATGTCAGAGACCTTCAAAAACCTGGTGTCTGTGGGTAAGAGACTGGGGTTCCCTTAGCAAGCCCCCTATCCCAGGACCCTTGGATACCTGGTTTCCCTGGACAGGTAAATCAGCTCACAAGGAGCTTCACTGACCCTTGGTTCTCGGGTTTGAAAGATCTGGATCACTAAGCTCAAGGTAAAGGAAAAGAAATGAAAGCCTACATGAAGGCGAAGATATCACTTGTAACATGATGACAAAATATGCAAATTTGCCTATTCATCCATTCAGTATTTACTGAGTCACTCCTGTTATGTACCAGGCACCAGTTAGAAGCTGGTCTTTTGAGTGTCTCCTCTCTTCATCTGTGTCCCAGATTATGGTTCTTAAACCGAGGCTACAAAAAAAGGTAGCCTGTTGTCCCCTTTTGGTAGGAAGGGGCCAAGCCTGGGACCTCAATACCTTCTCCCTTCCCACTCTCCAGCTTGCATCTTTCTGTCTAATCCAGATCTGATTACCAAGCTTGAACAAGATGAGAAACAGTGGAGAGCAGATCTTTGTCCCCCAAACAGAGAAGGCCACCCTTCAGGTAAGATTGCAAAGGAGAGAGGAAGGATGGAAAGCTGCCTAAGAGGATCAGGGCTCTGTATATTGTCTCCTAGCCTGTATCCTTCCAGACTGGTCAGACTATGAGCTGGATGACACCTTGAGATCATCTGTTGGAATCCTTTGGCTTCGAGAAGATGAATATATAAGTTGTTCAGGACAAGTGAATATCTCTATTTTCTAGGAATTGAGAGACTATGTGTAGGTTGCTTATGTCAGTGATACTCCTTTGATGAAAAAGTCCTTTCCAGGAGAAAAGGAAAAGAAGGAAGATGAACTCGATGCTGAATGGAAGTTGAAGAGACTTGTTCCTGAGAGTAGAATAAGGATTTGAGAGAAACTGAAGGCCAGACTGACCACATGTCCTAGTTTGCCAAGACAGTCCTAGTCCTGGTTTACTTCTCATTAACTTCTCATCCAAGCGTGATTATTAATAGCACCGCCTGTCACTCAAGTGTCCCAATTTGCATGATATATTATGAGGTCACCTGTGAGTATCTGTGGAGTATCTATGGGAGTGTGAGCAATACTGAAAATGAGAGAAAATGGACTTCAGAAATTATGGTTATAGGTTAAAAATTTAATCTCTGATACTATTGGAGGATTCCAGTTCAATTTTTATTTGCTTTTAATTTGAAAAACCCAAAAGTTTTTACTTAACTCTAGCCCATGCAGTCTAAGAGTGAACATGAATATGTTGACTGGGAGAATGAGGGTAGGAAGAGGGAAGTAGCTTGGACTGAATGGAGTGTTGAGGTTCTCATGGTGAATCTTGTGTTATTCTTCCTCTTCATTGTAGGAGGCAAGAAGGAGGAACTGCAAGAACACAGTCAGAGTTTGAGAGATGAGGGGACTAATGATGACAAAGTCTCCCTTGCTTATGGAGGGTCAAGCCTAGCCTCTGCTCCAGCTGGGTCCATGGCCCCAGTGTTCCCAGCATCCTGGGCTGGGCCACCCTTTTCCTGCCACACTTGTGGGAGGTGTTTCAGCAAGCGCTCCAACCTCCATAGCCACCAGTTTGTTCATAATCCTAAGCAGACTAACAACTGCAGCCAGTGTGGGAAGTCATTTCAGAACCCCAAGGCCCTCAGCCACCACAGACGCATGCATCTTGGGGAGAGGCCCTTCTGTTGCTCACTTTGTGACAAGACCTACTGTGATGCTTCTGGACTGAGTCGTCACCGCCGTGTCCATCTGGGTTACCGGCCCCATTCATGCCCCTTCTGTGGGAAGGGCTTCCGGGACCAGTCTGAGCTCAAACGCCACCAGAAGACACACCAAAACCAGGGGACAGTAGCTGGAAACCGGAAGCATATTGTGAGGAGTCCAGGCACCACAACTGGATTCCAGGAACTCATTGTCAGGAGCCAGGGGCTTACAACTGAGAACTATGCACCAGTGGCTGGAGCCCAAGAACCCATGTTTAGAGCCAAGGGTCTTGTAGCTCACACGCAACCATCTGTAGATGGGAACCAGGCACCCACAGGCAAGAACCAAGCGATCACTGTGAGAACTTGGGCACCAATTATTACAACCCCAGGGCCTGTGTCCAGGACCCAGGCAGCCAACCCTAGAGCCCACTGCCTGGATACCAGGTCCAAGTCTCACCTACCAAAGGCTTCAAGACTCAAGGTCTTTTCTTGCCCTTATTGTCCCTTGACTTTTAGTAAGAAGACATATCTCTCCAGGCACCAGAAGGCCCACCTCACACAGCAGTTAAACTGCTGCTTCTGCTGTGGCAAGTCCTTTAGCTCATTCTCTGAGCTGGTCAGGTACCAGCAGACTCACTGGAAGCAGAAGATCTACCGTTGCCCTATCTGTGACATATGCTTTGGGGAGAAGGAGGATCTTGTGGGTCACTGGGGGAGCTACAAAGGCGAAGGGCTGTGCCTGGGCAGTCCTCAAAAATGCTGGGTTATCCTGGATCAGTGGCTTGGAAAGGAAATGCATCTTCTAGGATCCATACCCCTAGGGGAGGGTTGGGAAGGAAGGGAGAAAGCATGTTGGAAAGGAAGAGAAAAAAGCAAATGAGGCAGCAGAGGATCTTGAAACATAAATAAATGTTCTTTTTTGACTGAGGCTCTTTTTTTGTGTTTGGTTTTCCTAAGGACTGACCGACCTCCAGGGTAAGGGGTGGGGGGAGGGTAGAGGAAGAGAGGTGAGGGGATAATGAAGGAAATGCAGAAAGGAAAAGGGACAAGAAGTGGCACATGGAAACTTGTATTATTAGCACCTAGCTTGTTTCTTTGTGTCTGATAAACCATCTGGTGTTATTGTTGAGTAAAACAGCGGATACTCTGATAGGTATGAAAACAGGAGAAAAATGATGGGAAGAGGGTAAGAGTCAGAGAG